GTGAATTTACCCATGTAGAAAATAATAATAATAGAGGCATGGTCTCTGGGCATCTGATGGGGGATTTGGCCCAACCAAATTCGATTCAACTTCATTAATCCATTCATCTTCACAAAAGTTTGCACCTTGTTTGCTACTGATAAGTACAGAATGAGGTTGCGTTTTCCATAAAAGCAATAGAGGCATATCCCATCAGGCTATAGACTGACTTGGTTTCACTCGATATGCATCACAGGTGACTTAAAACGTCCTGAGATGCATCATTCTAAAGCTTGGAAATGTAAGCATCTTTGACTTTAAAAAGTCAATGGTTCCACTAGGATATCGTTCATAAGGATGGCCTGTGCTTATGTCTCTGTTCCGGCTGTCAATGTATCCTTCACAGAACATACATTTTGGAACCCGTCTCCAAATGACGCACAAAATACGATGCATTGTGAAAACTGGGCACCCTATTTAACTGAAGGATGTCTTCAGGCTGAAAGAGGGTGTGAGCTGAGGTGCTTCACTTTGGCTTTTTGCACTAAAACAGCTGTCCTTGGGAGATATTATTTGCGGGTGGCACACGAGCTTTTCGCCTCCAGAGACACTGAGTTCAAATTTCAGCTCAGGTTGCTCAAGTGAAAATGTGCTTGATGGTCTTGTTTCCCCAAGTACAAAAAAATCACTCGGCGCTGTGTCACAATTCAGCAAATTGGCAGGCGCTCCCAGAGAGGGGCTGATGCCTGGAATGGCAAGAGGTTGTAGTAGGTCAGGACTGAAGCAAGCATGTGGAATTGCAAATGAGAGGCCTCAACATGCTACCAGCCTATGCAGAATTCTAGTGAGCTGGAGTTTTGGACCTTGTTCCTTTGGATGCAGTATCAAGCCACTTTCAGAAACAAAACAAATTAGTTTAAGTGTCAACCAGTTAAATAGTTTTAGGTTGATCAATCAAATCATTTTAGGCTGTTATCCTATAACATCTTTCCCGGGTGTTTTGAGCAGACATGCACAGGATTGTGCTGTAATCTGATATAAGACTTTGAACCAATTGACTGATTGAATTTAAACAAATTTGCACAATGTCAACACCCCGACAGGGCATATTCCCCAGGGAGTAGGGAATGTTGGTATCAGCAGAACCAAGGAATGACAGTGGTGCAAGGAGGTTAATTTCGGACTCTTGAAGTTAAATGGAATCTCCATGCTTACAGCAGTTGGCCATGTGTCCTGCCTTACAGAGGGTAGTCCTCTGTTTGAAGGAGTCCTCTGTTTGAAGGGCTATCCAGTCCAAAGATCAAGAACAGGGGTCAGCAAACTTTTTCAGCAGGGGGCCGGCCCACTGTTCCTCAGACCTTGTGGGGGGCCGGACTATATTTTTTTGGGGGGGATGAACAAATTCCTATGCCCCACAAATAACCCAGAGATGCATTTTAAATAAAAGGACACATTCTACTCATGTAAAAACATGCTGATTCCTGGACCATCCACGGGCCGGATTTAGAAAGCGATTGGGCCGGATCCAGTCCCCAAGCCTTAGTTTGCCTACCCATGATCAAGAACCATAAGAAGGGAGAGCAGGAGCCCTGAAGTTGCCCCTCAACAGTTAGTATCTGGATAACAGATTGAGCAAGCACACAGGTCACAGTCTTCACGGCTATAGTGAGACGTACTGTATTTCCATCTAAACTTGCATATAAGACGAACATATGCAAATGTTACCCAAATGCTCTCTTGTCCTCTTTTTTGAAGGTGCATTTCCTCTGCTTTGGGGTTGATGAGTGTTCTCTTTTTTAAAAAAAAAATATATTAAAAGTTTAAGAATTACAGAAGAAGAAAAAGAAATAACAATAAAGTAGAAAAAAACAATAACAAAACACATAAAACATATAAAAACCATACAATAGTACAGCAAAAAAAAAACAGACAAAAAAAGAAACTAAAAAACACATCCAATATTCCATATCTTTACCTTTCCTTAACTTATTTCATCGACCTCCTCACATCTCCCTTTTTTGTATTCTAGTTCAATTCACTATTTCAGCAAGTTCTTCCCATCTTTCTCAATTTTGATTCTATAGTTTTAATGAATTAACCTTAAATTTTTTCAATTTAACCCAATGTCAATCAACTTTTACTTAATTCTTTGTTGCATTTCTACTAAAACCATGTTAATTCATTCCCGCATCCTTCTAACACTCATTAATTTTACAATGTTTCTGTAAGTATACTTTAAATTTTTTCCAATCTTCTTCCACTGACTCTTCTCCCTGGTCTCGAATTCTGCCAGTCATTTCCGCCAGTTCCATATAGTCCATCAACTTCATCTGCCATTCTTCCCTGGTAGGTAGATCTTGTGTCTTCCAGTATTTCGCAATGAGTATTCTTGCTGCTGTTGTAGCGTACATAAAGAAAGTTCTATCTTTCTTTGGCACCAATTGGCCGACCATGCCCAGGAGAAAGGCCTCTGGTTTCTTCAGGAAGGTATATTTATATACCTTTTTCATTTCGTTATAGATCATCTCCCAGAATGCCTTAATCTTTGGGCATGTCCACCAAAGGTGAAAGAATGTACCTTCAGTTTCATTACATTTCCAACATTTATTATCGGGCAAATGATAGATTTTTGCAAGCTTGACTGGTGTTATGTACCACCTGTAAATCATTTTCATTAAATTCTCTTTTAAGGCATTGCATGCCGTAAACTTCATACCAGTGGTCCATAACTGTTCCCAGTCAGCCATCATAATATTATGTCCAACATCTTGTGCCCATTTAATCATAGCAGATTTCACCATTTCATCTTGAGTATTCCATTTCAACAGCAAGTTATACATTCTTGACAAATTCTTAACTTTAGGGTCTAACAATTCTGTTTCCAACTTTGATTTTTCCATCTGGAAGCCAATTTTTTTATCCAAATTATACACCTCCATTATTTGATAATAATGGAGCCAATCTCGTACTCTGTTTTTTAATTTTTCAAAACTCTGTAGTTTTAATCTGTCACCCTCTTGTTCCAAAATTTCCCAATACTTCGGCCATTTGGCCTCCATACTGAGTTTTTTCTGAGCCTTTGCTTCCATTGGTGACAACCATCTTGGGGTTTTATTTTCTAGCAAATCCTTATATCTTATCCAAACATTAAACAGTGCTTTTCTTACTATATGGTTTTTAAACACCTTGTGTGCTTTAACCTTATCACACCACAAATATGCATGCCAACCAAATACATTATTGAAACCTTCCAAATCCAAAACATCCGTGTTTTCAAGAAGCATCCATTCTCTCAGCCAGCAAAAAGCGGCTGATTCATAATAAAGTTTTAAGTCTGGCAGGGCAAATCCGCCTCTTTCTTTAGCATCAGTTAATATCTTAAATTATATACGAGGCTTCTTGCCCTGCCAGACAAATCTGGATATATCTCTCTGCCACTTCTTGAAACAATCCATTTTGTCCAAAATTTGCAGTGTTTGAAACAAAAACAGCATTCTTGGCAATACATTCATTTTTATCACAGCAATTCGGCCTAACAACGATAGCTTCAAATTTGACCATATTTCTAAATCTTTTTTCACTTCAGTCCAACATTTTTCATAATTATCCTTAAATAAATTCACATTCTTAGCAGTCATATTAACCCCTAAATATTTCACTTTCTTGACCAGTGTCAGTCCTGTCTCCTTCTGAAACTTCTCTCTCTCAATCTCTGTTAAATTCTTTTCTAATACCTTAGTTTTCATCTTATTCAGCTTAAAACCTGCCACCTGACCAAATTCTTGGATTAATTCTAGTACTCTTTTAGTGCTAGATTTGATGAGTGTTCTCGCCCCTAGTTTAGAGGCTGATTGCCCCTGGACCCTAGGTGTCTGGGACAATCGCCATGGGATGGTTGTCAACTTCATGCCCAGCTTGTGAGCTTCCTAGAGGCATTTGGTGATTCTTCAGCCGGAGACATGGGGAGAAGGCCATGGGAGTGCTGATAATATTTTTTGGAGGACAAATAGAAGAGGTTTTGTGGTCAATGTCTTTAACTAAGGAAAAGGTTCTTTTCATTCTTATTCCTGCTTCATTCCACTGGAAGGAAGGAAGGAAGGAAGGAAGGAAGGAAGGAAGGAAGGAGTAAACTGTGAAGCCCCGTGTAACAGGGTAATCTTTCAATTTTTGTATATTCTTGTTTTAATTCTTGTTTGTACTTCACATCTAGGTGGCAAGCCGTTAGTGCTCTTCCTCCTGTTTGGCCCCCAGTTAGCTTTTACTGCACACAGGGGGGGGGGGAAGGGGGGGAGAGACTCTTAAGGAGATTAATGCTAAGCCAAGTATTAAAGCTGTCTGTATTTTGAGCACCATGTGCAGTTGTGCCTGGAGAAAATTGTAAGGGTTGTGAAGTGACACTGAGAGTTACACAGGGAATCAGCCTGGCCCATAAGGTCTTGTTTATTCCTTTAGCATCATAGAGCTGAATGGTACTCACACTGGATTATACCGTCCAATTTCCAGGCCCCCAACAGAATATGATGTACTAATAGCATCTCTGAGAAGCATTTGGGCTATACAAATCAATGGAGGACACATTTATCAATAGGTATTAGTTAGCGAGCATGGATGAGATTCATCCCAGCCTAGCCCAGCCAGCTGTCATTTCTGTCATTAATCCAGGATGTTAGATGTCCAGAAATTAACCTGGATCTCCTGGTTTGTGGTTTTGTATGTGATAAGTATGTGATAAATATTATGGATTGTGATGCGAATGGAACGAGCATAGACACCTTGGCTGTCACAGCCTTAACAGAAGATGTCACTGCTAGAATGTTTCTGGGTTCTTTTAAAAATAAATAAATTTGGATTGTATAGGGACAGCTACCAAAATCATTCGAGTTTTACTGTTTTGCCAATGTTGGGCTCCGTTTCTGGTGTTCTTCCAATTCACTCTTCATATTTCCAAGCTTTTATTGGCACCTGTGAGGACGTCAAATTTAAACAACAACAACAGAAAGCAGAAATCTTATACGGAGATAATGACAAAAGACAACAGCAGAAATCTGGTACTGGAGGTGAAAACTCCTGGAGGAGTTTGAAAGACCTATTGAACATGACAGTTTTACATGTACAGCCTCTGCTTGTGGTTCCCTTTCTGTGCTGAATCACAGAAATCACACACGGCGACTCATCTGCATTCTTATTTGCCATTTGAAAGCAAACAACAGCACAATGTGTCAGTGTTCAGTGGCTGATTCTATTCATGTAAATAGCTCCATTTTAGCCAACGGAGAGAGCCCTCTGCCGTCTCTTCCCATTCATCCATTATCAGCTGAGCGATTCGTTTTTATTTACTTTTCAGTTTTGCCGAACTCCCCTTTTCTCCCCTTGTTCTTTTGGCGGAGTTAAAAGCATCTAATACCGAATGTTTATTTCCCGATGTAGTGTTGCTACTTAGAATTTTTGGCTGCCTGGGGTGCAGAAACTAATTTTGCAGTTGTCGTTTTCCTTTCCAGCACGAGAAATGCAGCAAGCTGGATAAAGTCAGGGAAAGAAAGAAAGAAAGAAAGAAAGAAAGAAAGAAAGAAAGAAAGAAAGAAAGATGCAAGTCAGTGGCCAGCTGTAGCTTTAAGGGATCCACCTTAAGGAAATCCACCTCCTCCCGCCGCCGCTCTGGAGTGGGCAGCGTCACCGGGGATGGCAGAGATCAACTAATAAATGTGCAGCTGGAGGAATCCGGAGGAGGCACCACGCGAAGCCCCGCGCGGATCTGCAGAGCTGCTCCCAGGTAGAGGCGACCGGCTGGTCTCCAGCTCCTTCCTTGTCACCTGTCTAGCTGCACTAACCTTCTTCTGCCCTACCTTGCAACTTGACTGCATGTTAATCTCAGGGTCGTGGGTTCGAGCCCCACGCTGGGCAAAAAGATTCCAGCCTTGCCGGGGGTTGGACTAGATGACCCCGGGGGATCCCTTCCAACTCTACAATTCTAGGATTGCTCCTCTCCTCTCTGAGAGTTGCCCCTCATTTCTTCCCACTCCCCACTCCACGCTCGTTTTCTTTACTGAGGCTGCTGTCCTGTTGTCTGCGTTTCTTGCTTGCGCCTGTTGGGCTATTAATCAAACGGATGTGCCAGATGGGATTTGCTGCAGGCCGTTTGCTCACTAATCACACCGGATCAGCCTTTTCTTTATTATTCTTCCTCCTCTGCTACCCCACCTTTCTGGTTTGCAAACCACAAGGGTGACCCGCCACCCAGCCAGAGCTGCTAATACAGCCCAGAGTCCACCGGCTTCTTCCACCGCATGGCTCCCATATCCAAAGCCACATTATATATTTATCATTCTCTCCCCCACCTTCCGTCTCCTTTACCCCTCACATAAGCTGCTGGTTAAGAGACATGGGTGCAAAAAGGCTCAGGCCAGTCTCTTGCGGCTTGTCGAACCACTAATGTATGTACTGTAGTTTTCTTTCCTTTATTTTTTAAGTGGAAAGCCCTTGTTCAGTTCAGATTAAAATAAGGATTACAATATTCTGTAGAAAAGCACTCTGAAACTATTGATGACTCAGCATGGCTTTTGTGACTGGACAATTAGATGACACACAGACAACCTGCATATATTTACTCAGAAATCCAGCCTGCCAGTGAGACTTACTCCCAAGTAAGTGTGCACAGAATTGCCATTTTAAAACACTTTTAAACAATTAGTTGTGCTGCACTGGTTTCTTGACAGTTCAGCCAGATGATTTGTTTGCCCCCCCCCCATGTCACAACTCAGATTTCAAAGTTCAAACAATACGCTTAACAGACATCTCAGCAGAACTGATACTCAAACCGAGAAGTAGGATATTGACAGTAGTTCTACAGATTTACTTCTAAACTTTAAAGTTCACCTCTAGCTGACAACTCTTGATTCTCAGAATAATGTCCTCTTGCTGTAATAAGATATTCATTCAAAACAAAAAAGTTTGCATGAAGTTTCACACAAAAGAAGAAATACTAAACATTTCACACTTTGTTACATCGCTTTTCTGGATATTTGAATGTACCATTCTATTTTATTTACTTACATAAAAAGTTATAGCCACCTTTTCTAATACACTTTTGTTACACGAGGCAGATTATAGCAATTAAAACCGTAATTTAAGAGCCACAAATTAAATATATAACAGCAATAAGAGGGAACTTGACTAGAAGAACAACATCAGATTTGTCTGAAAAGGTCCTCCCTGCTAGATCATAATGAGTATGGGAGGAAGAGGTCCCCATGGAATCTTGGACCCAAGTCCTTTAGGAATTTACAGATAAAGAAACACCACTCCAAATTTTGCCTGGAAACAAATGGCAAACCATGCAGCTGTTCTAGGTCAGATGTAATGTGATCCTATGGGCAAGTGCCCATGAGCATCCTTACTGCTGCATTCTGAGGGTTCTGAAGCCTCTTCAAAGGTTGGTCCATGGCAGTGACCAAGTCCAGCTGCAATTGGACATGTCTGTTTCCATGACCAGATCTGACCTCAACAGTAACAGCCTGCACAGCGGTCAAAGCTGAGCTGAGACACTCTTGACCAGGCTTCCTCAACCGCGGCCCTCCAGATGTTTTTGGCCTACAACTCCCATGATCCCTAGTTAGCAGGACCAGGGATGATGAGAATTGTAGTCTCAAAACATCTGGAGGGCCAAGGTTGAGGAAGCCTGCTCTTGACCACTGGCACATGGGCACCTAGGGACGAGGCTGAATCCAGGAATACCAACAGCCTGTGGACCTGATTCGTCAGGGGGACTACCACCCCATCGAGAACTGGTTGGACCCCTGTTCTAGAGTCCATCACTTTCCTGAGCTAAAGCACCCCTGTCTTGTTTTGGTTAAGTCTCAGTTTATTCACCCTTACCCAGCCCATATAACTAATTGCACATAAATAATAAAATTGTGGTGGTGTTGGTGATTAAGCCAACAGCTTCCTTGGTAGGTAAAGGAGCTGCAGTTCATCACCTATTGATAACAATGTACTCCGGATCCTGGGACAGTCTCTCCCAGTTGTCCCTGGGGTGGGCCACCTGCAATCCTAAATCCACATTTGCTCCTTGGCATAATTTCAGAAGCCCTCTGCAAGTCCTCAGGCCAGGCCTCTGGCAAGAGCAGTAGGTCCCTTCCCCCAGCAGCCAGCTGGCTGGGGAAGGCTAAGGCAAGAGAGAAAAGGGTTGGCTTCTGGACCCACCCACTTAAACCCCTCTGCCCCCACCCGCAGAGGAAATTTAGCCATCAGCACATGGTTGATGGCATCATGTGCCTCTGAAAGGTATATAGCCCAGGTGCAGGGAACCTCTAGCAATCCATGGGTAGGCAAACTAAGGCCCAATCGCCTTCTAAATTCCCAGACAGTCCGGGAATCAGCGTGTTTTTACATGAGTAGAATGTGTCCTTTTATTTAAAATGCATCTCTGGGTTATTTGTGGGGCATAGGAATTCGTTCATTTCCACCCCCAAAATATAGTCCAGCGCCCCACAAGGTCTGAGGGACAGTGGATCAGCCCCCTGCTGAAAAAGTTTGCTGACCCCTGAACTATACAGTACAAGCAATGAATAAGTCACTCTCACCCTGTTTTTCTCAGGCTTAGTAACAAAAAAAAAAAGCTTCTCTTATGGCACATTGGAGCGACCAGCCCAACCCAACCTTGCCTCTTTAGTAGCTGAGTTACATGCTGGCACCGTGCAGAAATGCTTTCCAGTTTTTTGTGGCGCTAACAAGTCTCAATTTAGCAGCCTAAAACTGCTGACCTCTTAAACAGCTGCTGTTGGATTTTATTCCGAGGAAAACGTTTCGTTTTCAAATGGTCAGCTTTGCTCTGAAATCTAAAATCCAACAGGCAAAAGTGGGGTGGGGGTGGTGTTTGTGTTGTTGGTGGTGGGGTGTCCATCAAGGGAGGGCGGCTATATTACAGGCCTAAACTGGCTTGGAAGTTCCTCTGTAGCCCCAGAGAACCCTGGGAACTGTAGTCTCTGGGGATGATCTCTAACAAAATTCCCAGCAGCCTTGCCAAACTAGAACCAGGATTCTTTGAAGAATTAATCAGTTACATAAGTGAGTGTGTGTGTGTGTGTGTGTGTGTGAGAGAGAGAGAGAGAGAGAGAGAGAGAGAGAGAGATGTGTGTGTGGATATGCCCTGTGTGGTGACGCAGGTGGCACTGTGGGTTAAACCACAGAGCCTAGGACTTGCCAATCAGAAGGTCGGCGGTTCGAATCCCTGCGACGGGGTGAGCTCCCATGGCTCGGTCCCTGCTCCTGCCAACCTAGCAGTTCGAAAACACGTCAAAGTGCAAGTAGATAAATAGGTACCGCTCCGGCGGGAAGGTAAACAGTGTTTTTGTGCACTGCTGTGGTTCGCCAGAAGTGGCTTAGTCATGCTGGCCACATGACCCGGAAGCTGTACGCCGGCTCCCTCAGCCAATAAAGCGAGATGAGCACTACAACCCCAGAGTCGGCCATGACTGGACCTAATGGTCAGGGGTCCCTTTACCTTTACCTCTGCCTTGTGTTGGCAACTTGGCTGTCCAGATGTTGAACTACAGCTCCCATCATTTCAGGCCGTTGCCCATGCTTGATGAGGCTGTTGCAGTTCAGCAACAACTAGAGGTCCAGATGTTCCCCCACACCTCAGTTATAAAATTGTAGGGTTCAATTCTATGGTCTCTGGGAAGATGTCCCAGGGGCCAGAGGAATTTTTGTTGCAAAGCTCTGTCTCCATTGATAGTGGGAAGTTCCCTTTCGGACACCTCGTGCTTGTCTCTGTGGTCAGATCCACTGCTGTTGTTCCTCTGCTGTTGGTGATCTGGTGGAGAAGGTAAAAAGCCGGTATTCTGGGTTCATGTTGGTGGTGGACCCAAAACCCTCCTATTTCCATGGCAATGGGAAGAAATGGACATGGACCTTGGGACCAATGTACTGTTTTTCCTCTCAGTGGGAGGAAAATGGCTGCTGGGATAGCTCAGCTGGAACACCATGAAACTCTTAATCTCAGGGTTGTGGGTTCGAGCCCCATGTTGGGCAAAAGATTGCAGGAGGTTGGACTAGATGACCCTTGAGGTGCCTTCCAACTCTTAAAGTCCATGAGCCTGGCAGGGCTTTGGGTCTGGTGGTTCATCTCCCATAGGATGGCCTTTCCCCCACCTCCACATGCCCATCTGCACTTAGCCTCCAGCTGCTTATAACAAAAATTTAAAAATCCAAATAAATATCCATAAAAACCAGCTCAAGGAAAAAACATCATTGAAACAAAATCTAATAAATAGCTGCACTCCATTGTTGAACTACTAAAAATAAGTGACCAGAGGGCTCGTGGGAACATAATTGTGTTTGACTTTTGAAAGCAAAAAATCCTGAACTTTATCTCCATCAGGGATACTTGCATTTCTGCTCTTTTTGTAAATAGCAGCGTGTTGGTCTAACTTGGGCTGTTCTCCGTGGGTGGCAGCTCTTCAGCCACGTCCCTTAGACTACACATCTTCAATCTTTTTGCACCCAGGACCTGCCTCTAACTCCAGCCTGCAGCGCAGGAGCCAGTTTTAATTTTGTAACATGTACGTCTGTTTCTCTTAAGAACTATGTATGTAGAAGCAAACAGTAGGGCTGGGCGATGTCTAGTTTTCAACGTCGTGATATATCATAATGTCTGAAATAAGGATGGAACTATGGAGAGGCGTTGGTTGGCTTCACAGCTTTCCCCGCATTGTGATTTTTTGCATAGCACACAGACACACACAGATCATGATTCGAGGGGTTTAAATGTGGACTTCAAACTGGTTTTGGACGATATATCACTACATCACCCAGCCCTGGGCTTTTCTGCCCAACTTGGCACCAATAGGAGGGTGTGGTGGGGAGAAGTTCTGATCATGATTGAAGGTTGGGGGGCAATGGTTACATCTCACCTCCCTACATGCTGTAGTCCCTAATTCATAGGATCTGCCTTATACTGAGTCGGACCATTGCGCCATCTAGCTCAGGATTGTCAATGATGACCAGAAGCAGCCTCCAGGGTTTGGGGCAGGGGACTCCTGCCCCCTCTCACCAGTCCTACCTGGGGAAGCCACGGATTGCTTGCAAAGCAGATGCTCTCCCTCTGAGCTATTACCATTCGCCTCCCAGCATTCAAAGTCGACCCCCGCCCACTCTCCTTTACTATTTTTTAAAGAACCTTACATGACCCTGCAGGTGACACGTTTACTGCCCCTGCAGTGTAGTCAGGCCTGAAGCATCTAGGGCATCTAATGGGGAGCAAAGGTCATCTCTCCTTGCCTCGTTTCACCCTTAATTGCACAGTAGCTGGGTCTGCCGGGAAGAAATAACCTGTGGCTCTCTGGTGCTTTGGCCAAAAGTGTTGAGATGACTGGGCACTTAGCTCTTAAGGGTTCCAGGTTCACTTTCTAAAACATTAAAAGGTACTTGGAAAATTTAAATTCGACTACTTCTATTTTGCTTTTCCTCATTTTGCCTTTACTAATGCTGCTGCCCCAATGTACCTTTGGAGAAACCTCTCCTTCCTTCCTTTCCTCCCTCCCTCTGTGCACACACTCTAAACTGGCTATATGCCTGGACTGGGTGATTGCATTTCTTCCTCTTTGTATCATTGTAAGTGCTAACATGTCTACGTGCTGCCAAAGAGCAAGAGGAGATCAGAAGCTGCTGGTACAAGTTGTTTAGCTCGATGCCCGTCCACCTTTCACTCGGGTCAAAGGAAATTTCATCATTTCAGTTTCATCATCTTGCGGTTCCCCTTCTTCTAACAACTGCAGGATTGGACTCCAAATCATTTCTTGTATCACTGCTAGCTCCCATTTGAAATCCAGTGTAAACTGACGCACTGCTATGACTTCCTGCCAGGCAGTGATCTAATGGGACAATGTCAGTATTATTTAAGGACCCAAAGCTGTTGCCATTGTCAAGCTGCATTTAAATTTTTATGGATAGGTTCTTGGCTGAAAAGGCCTTGCTTTTTTAAAACACCTGGCAAAAGCTTTTGATCTTATGACAAAGCTCAATAGTGATGTCCTATTTGTATCTGTCAAACGGCATTAAAGGATTAGGGTATCCTTGTTCTCCTAACTGCATCTGGTCCTTTTGATTATTTTGCATTTGAAGTAAATAGCTGATATTTGTGACCTGGAGTATCTGTGGCAGATCTAGTGTTATTGCCCCTATAAAAGATCATGGCTTCAGAAGGAAGCTAAGCAATAAACCTCCCGAAACAGAATTCTTGTTTCCATTTAAAAACATATCTATGCACAAAGAAAGAGAAATCTGTGTAACCAGACAGTGTCACTGTACAACTTTCCATTTCTCTTATGTTCCCATAAATCTGACATATCTTTCAAAATGAAGCACTTAATATTATGAAGAAAAGTAATGAAATCGGTCGACTTCTAACATAGTTTATGCAGCCAGAACGCATCAGAACTCAGTTCTGGCACATCTCAGGTGGGTGCCATTGCCATTAAAAGAGAACAAGGGAGGTCATGATGAGTTCTGGCACCTCTTTTTCTAGAAAAAAGTACAGTGGTGCCTCGCAAGACGAAATTAATTCGTTCCGCGAGTTTTGTCGTCTTGCGATTTTTTTCGTCTTGCGAAGCACGGTGTCGGGAAAGTTTTGGAAAAGCTTCAAAAATCACCAAAGTCTTTAAAAACCTCAAAAAAGGCTACCACACCGCGTTCTATGAGTTGCTCCTCGAAGTCAAGTCGCAACTGTATTAACGGTGTTAAGAAAAAGGAAACAAACTTGCAAGACGTTTCCGTCTTGCAAAGCAAGCCCATAGGGAAAATCGTCTTGCAAAGCAGCTCAAAAAACCCTTTCGTCTAGCGAGTTTTTTGTCTTGCGAGGCATTCGTCTTGCGAGGTACCACTGTACAGAGTTTACTAATGAGCATTAAATTTTGACCAGGTCAGGGTGTAGCTTCTGTGGATGAGGGCTGTATGAACTTATGAGCTGTATGGTGATGGTTTGTTTGTTTTAAAGGTAATGCTTTGGATCCTAATTTTCCTTCTATGAATAGAATAGAGCTCACATTTGTGGAATGGAGATTTTCCATCTCCTCCTTCCCTCTGCAGCCCTGTGCACCTCTTTATAAAAAATTCTGCCACTGAAGGGGATTGGGTGTGGGAGCCTCACGATATGGCGTAGGGGCTGCTGATGGAGGAATGAGTTGGTCAAGAAGGTATCTACATTCAGCAAGTTGCTCTGGGAAGCTTTGCATTTAATACACATATGAAGTGTTGTTTCAGAGGTGCTTTCCCAGATGTGCTCTCTTCAAATTATAGTGACATTTTAAAGATTGCCTACCAAACCCTGAAACCCGTCACACGCTTGAAAACAAAAACCTAGTAGCCAGCAGCGCTGGCAGTAGGGGACACACCTTAAAATGGAGACTGTGTGTTGTCTAATGACGGCACCATGATCCAGGCTGATGATGGGACACCCTCACAAATAACCAGGACATGTGATGCATGATGACATCTGCTGGGACAACAATGCCCCCTGTTGCGTGGGCAGCAGAGCCAAAGTTAACACTGACCAAGAGGGAAAGCAAGGTGACAGGAGGCGTTGCCATGATGAAAGAGATCGTTCCTCTCCTGCTAGGAAACCTGGGATGTGTGGTCTTCGTAACCTGTAGCTGGCTTTTCATAAGGCAGCCAGTCAAGGCGTATCAAGCCCAAAGCTGTTAGCAGCTACAGAAAGTGATGTGAGGGGTGGCTGTGGCATTTGCTCCCTGCCACACCATTCTTGCTGCAGAACAAAGAGCTAAGTAGGGCACTTGACACCTTGTCACTGTGAATCTCAATCAGAAACACTTCTGGTTTCTGGAAGTCCTACAACTGGAAGAGCAGGACCAGCTGGGGACATTTTGCTGCCTGGTGTGGAACAGCAAATGACACGCACCACAGAGACACACAGAGTTAAGTATCCCAGGCTGGTAAAGCTATTGTGACACCTGAGGTAGAACACCTCACAAGTGCCTCTGTCCCTCCCAAGCAGTAAAAATACAACAATAATGAACTCGGTGTCTTAACAAGTTTTTGCCTTTGCATGACATCCAGAATCAGCTGGCCTAAGGTGGCCTTCGGTCTCTGTGAGCTTTCAAAAAAAGAAAGCGAAAGCTGAAATTGTTAGGAAGCTAAATTTTGCTCCCGAAACCAAATCCTGCACTTTATCTCCTCCTGCCTTTGTGATGAAGTTATCAACGGCTCAGGACTGCAACACCTCAAGGACCGCCACTGTTCATATGAACCTACCCGAACCCTGAGATCATCTTCTGAGGCCCTCCTTTGTGTGCCTTCTCCACGAGAGGTCCAGAGGGTGGCAGCACGAGAACGGGCCTTCTCTGCAGTGGCTCCCTGTCTGTGGAATGCTTTCCCCAGGGAAGTTCGCCTGGCGCCTTCATTATACACCTTTAGGCCCCAGGCAAAAACGTTCCTCTTTAACCAGGCCTTTGGCGAATTGACATCCAATGCCCTTTAAAAATGGGGGGGCGTTATTGGGTTGTTTTTGTTTTTATTATGTCTTTTGTGTTTTTATATTGTGATTTTGTGTTGTAACTACCCTGAGACCTACAGGTATAAAGCTTAAATTATTATTATTATTAATAACAACAACAATAATAATCTCTCTTACCCTGCCACCACCATTTCTGCTAATAATCTATTCATGCTAGTACTATGCCTTATAATTTAGCTGTAAAACATCCTTAGGAGAGCGATGACTAACGTGAGCAGAGGTACGACAACTCCCTATCCTGTTTCATTATGAATTGTTTCCAGCATGGCAATAGATTTGACATTAGTTGTCGAAGCATGATGGTGTTCCTATTCTGAGCCACTACCTTGAGGTGTTCGTTCCTTCCCTCGCATGCCGGGCATATAATTGGGACGGTGCTGCTGTTCGCATTCTAGCAACACCTCCCTTCATAGGACTGTTTTTAGCAATCAACTAAAGGGCAGAATTCACTGGGGCTTTGTGAACTTTGGTCATTTTGGTATCTATCTTTGAGAGAGAATCTCATCCTGTTCCCTGAAATGATTTCAACAAATACTGCTTCCAAAGCCTTTGACCTTCTTTTTCTGGCTCGGTGTCCTTGCTATTTGAAGGGAGAGCGACTGTTCCTTTGTTTAAGGGAAATGTGAAACTGAAGTCTGTGGCGATAGGGTCATCGTCGAAGAACTAGAACTCCACCTTGTGGGACAGTGTGAGCTTCCAGGTACCTACATACTTTTAGAAGGCTACTTGCATCTCTGATGCAAACTCACCCAACAGTGGCCTTGGGCAAGACTCCGTCTCTCAGTCCAAACATCTGCAGTATTTCTGTTCCCTTATATAGTATCGAGAGCATGCCTAGCTCTTCACAGAGCACCATAAGCAAAGCAAAACTAAAACAATCCCTGACAGATTCCTCCTTCACCTGCTAAAATTATTTTAGCTAAAATGCACAGAAGAAAACATGAAGAAGAAGAAATTGTTGCTCAATAATGATTTATCTCTAGTAAATAATTAGCTTTTGAATTTATTGGGAATCCGATGGTGTGGAAAGGACAACAGTTAAAACAATGGTGAACCACATGAGATGCATTTCATCAACTACAGTTCAGAATCCATTTTAGGACTTGCTCAATGGCACTGTTTTGAATTATTTAAAATATTTTGATATGGCTAGTCATAAGGAAATTACAGTGGTTCACAGCAATAATACATAAAACCATGCAGTAAAAAACAATATAAAATTTTAAATTAGAGATCAACTATTATACCAGGATATTTTCTTAATTGCCAGTACAGGCGGTGACCATTTTGCACGAGGGTTCTGTTCCCAAGCCCCTGCGCAGATCGGCAGAGCATACATAAGCGGCTCCTGCTCCATTATGCCCTGTCCCCATTCCGCCCTCTTCTGGGTCCAAAAGGACCTGTGCATCAGTGATTGTGTGTCAATTGGATGTGCCTAAAATGGTCGCTGCCTGTATACACTTGGCAGTATAGAAAAGTTTTAAAGCTTAAAGCAGAAAGTGCCTGCTGAATCTCTGTTGGCAGAGCATTCCATAGGACTGGGCCAATAAAACTAAATGTTCTGTTTCTTTTTTTTTTTTTTTAAAGCAATTTATTGGGTTTTACAATAGGAATAAATGTAATAAACAAAATAACATTCGTCTTGACATAGTTTCACATTTTCTTTGGACTTCCTCACATCTCCCGCTCCCACCTTCATCATTATAACATTTTGTCAGCAATTTATCATCTTATTTAAATTCTTATATCTCTTCGATATTTCATAATCTTAAAGTTCTCATAAAGAGTTAAACTTTCACAGTTTTACTTATTTTCTTAAAAACTTCTAAGTTAAGTGGTGCTCAGTTATTTAGTCTAGCATCTTACTCAGCATTCAGTCAAATCACAATGTTTTTGTAGGTAGTTCTTAAATTTCTTCCAATCCTCCTCGATTCTCTCTTCTCCCAGGTCACGGATTCTGCCAGTCATTTCAGCCAGTTGCATATAGTCTATCAGTTGCATCTGCCATTCTTCCAGTGTGGGTAAATCTTGAGTTTTCCAATGTTTTGCGAGTAGTATCCTTGCTGCTGTTGTTCTAAATGTTCTGTTTCTTATTACCAGATGAGCTTCACCAAGTCAGGGGATAACCAGCTACACACCCGCAGATCTCAGTAATCCAGCTGGGATACAAGTGTTCAGGCAGTTACTAATATACCCTGGACCTAAACTGCAGCCCCACAGAGAGAGCATTGCAGTAATTTAGTCTCAGAGTTACCAGTTAATGGACTGCAGTGGTCATGCTATCAATAGCTCCAGGAACAGCCATAGCTGGTGAGCCAGACAGAACTGGTAAAAGGTACTCCAGTAACAGAGGACACTTGGGTCTATAGCGACACACTTGCTCCTTCAGAGGGAGTGCGACCCCATGCTGAACAAGTAACCTGCATATATATCGGACATGAGAACTACCCACCCATAGAGCCTCTATCTTCCCAGGATTCAAACACAGGGTAGTCTACACACAGGGGAAAAACCACTATAAATAAGTCAGAAATTATATTGCTATAACAAAAGGAAAAAAAACCCTATGGAAAACCGTGTTTAAAAAATTTCTGCTCTCTAGCGCCATCTGGTGTTGCGTGTTTATAGTGCAGTTGAATCATTGCTTTTTTACTAATGTAGCTGAGTCCCCATCCACCACTGCATTCAGCCAATAATCCAAAGCTTTCACAACCTCTCCTGGTTCATATGTTAATAGAGATGTGCATCATCAGTATACTGATGAAACCTTGATCTAAAACTTGCAATGAGTACTCTCCAGTGATACTCTCTGCGCACGGCCTGAAGATATGAATGGAATGACCATAAGACAGTGCTTCCGATACCCATCCCACAGAGTTGACCTAGGAGGATGCCTATCATGGGATCAATGGTATTGAAAGTTGCTGAGAGATCAAGGATAAGTAACTAGGTCATCTCTCTCACAATAAAGATCAACTCTCAGGGCGAGCAAGGTGGATTCAGTTCCAAAACCAGCTATAAACCCAGATTGTAGTGGATCCAATTAAACAGTCTCATCCAGGAATACCTACGGTTGCTCCACAACCATCCTCTCCACCAGCTTTGTCAAGAAAGGAGTGTTGGCAGTTGGCAATTGGTTTATAGTTATTATGCACCACTGAGCCTCTTGGGCTTGCCGATCGGAAGGGCGGTGGTTCAAATCCCTGCAACGGAGTGAGCTCCCGTTGCCTGTCCCAGATCCTGCTAACTTAGCAGTTCAAAAGCACGCCAGTGCAAGTAGATAAATAGGTACTGCTGAGGTGGGAAGGTAAACGGTGTTTCCGTGCGCTTTGGTTTCCGTCACGGTGTTCCGTTGTGCCAGAAGCAGTTTAGTCATGCTGGCCACATGACCCGGAAAACTGTCTGTGGACAAACGCCAGCTCCCTCAGCCAGAAAGCGAGATGAGCACCGCAACCCCATAGTTGCCTTTGACTGGATTTATCTGTCCAGGGGTCCTTTACCTTTTACCTATTATGCACCATTGGGTTTAGAGTAGGCTTCTAAAGAAGTGGATACACAACTGCCTCTTTAAAGGCAAAGGGTAACACCCTATGATGCCAAGTTTTCTTGTTTTTTACCACCAATCAGCCAACCCACTCCATCTAGCTCTAATAAGCCAGGATAGACGAGGATCTAAAGAGCAGGGGATGGCAGGAAAGAAGTCTTAAATTTTTTTGCAGCTGCTCAGAGTGGTCTATTGGGAATTGTTCTGTGTAATGAGGCCCTGTTACATCAAGGCTATAGGGAGTTACAGAGAACTGTTTGGTAGTCTTGTGTGACTGGCTGGCAAAAACACTCTGCAGATTTTTGATTTTTTTTAAGAGGGATGATAGCTGTGTTGTTTGTCCCATAAGAAAAATATCAAAATCTATTTTAGACAATACCTCTATTAGCCCAACCCAGATTTCACAAAGTTGTGTGTAAGCTTTCTAAGTTCTACAGAACTCTTCCTAAGGCTGGATTATTATTATTATTATTATTATTATTTAAATGGAAGAGTCTTAAGATGGAGGAGGCAGCAGACATGCAAATGAGCTATCCGATTGCACCAAGACTGGTTGGGAAGGTGAAACACGGAAAATACAAAAGAACTGCTGTTACTCAAGTCTGCCCCCATCCTTAGGTGAAACACACAGGTTCCTTGGCAAGTAGAAAAAAAGGAGAAAGGAGAAACTAGGCCGATAAGGTTAATTATTTTTGTATGCAGCCAAATGACGTGAATAGAGCTTTTAAGAGATGTGAGGTCATGACCTGATCCTTGGCCATCTTAGCTGAATTTGGGCAGCCAGAGGTGAGTTGGCTGATTTAGATAGTGAGGCTATAAAGTTCTAAGTGGAAGAAAAAGATTGCTGATTTAAAAAAAAATTGTTAGGGAAAAGAATGATTGGGAAAGAAGTCTAATGCCACCACTTAAGCTCTGCTCTCACAGCCAAAAATCGAAGGCCAATGACAACCCATTTGAAAACAACACTTTATTTGCTTCAACATCCTCCTCCCACATCACTGTGATTGAGTGCCCTGGGGAAATAATCCACTGTGATTAAAATCTGGACCTGCCCATCAGAATGAAAAAAGTCTCCCCCCACTTTCCACCCCTTCCCTCTCCACCCCCTCTCCTCCAAGATTTGGGTGTTTCCCCACTCAAAACGGAAAAAGACAGGAGAAGGTAGTGTATTGGGGGGGGGGACCAGCAAAGGAGCTACTCAGAAGGTTGGGGACTCCCTGATCTACCTCGACATGGTGTGATTAAACTCGGGGACATGGAAATCTGCTGCACACCACCCCAATTTATCTTGTTATTTGGGGTGCACACACAGAGAGCTGTTGGACATTCCTGCCTGACAGGTGCTTGCTAGACAACCCTCGTTGTTGTAGTAAAACCAGGAGATTTGTCAAAGCCTTGGTAGGCCATTGTACATGGCAGGGGCGCCAACTCCTGGGGGCCCATCCTTTTGGCCCCCCAATGTTCCAAAAAATCAGGGCCCAGCATGGAGCAGCTTCAATAGCCAACTCCTCCTCCTGCCATGGAGGGGAAGGAGGGAGGAAGCAGGTAGTGGCAGCAGGAGCAGGAGCTTCAGGCCATTGGAGCCACATTCCTGGCTCCTCTGAGGTCCTGATGTGACATTGGGATGTTTTATGTGTGCCATCATGCGCAACACCAGCCCCTGCACCTCTGGAACATGGGTGCTGGGTTGCATTTGGTTTGGTATTGGGCAGGTTTTTTAGGACTGTTCTGTCCCAAGATGCATTCATTCTGGTGTGTTACAGGAGAAAGAAAACCTTCTGTATAAAAAAAAGGTCACAACTACACTATAAATTTAAAGCACATTTAAAGAAACTTTAAGGGTGCTGGGAATTTTAGCCCTGTGAGAGGTAAACAATGGCTCCCAGGATTCTTTGGGGGAAAGCCATGTGCTTTAAATATATGGTGCAGATGAAAGCCTGTGTGGTGTAGTGGTTAGTGTGTTGGACTTGGGCCTTGGAGACCAGGGTTCAAATCTCCACTCAGCCATGATGCTCACTGAGTGACCTTGGGCCGGCCATTGATGCTCAGCCTACAGGGTTGCTGTGGGATTAAATGAGAAGGGGTGAACCATGTATGCCACCTGGAGCTCCTTAGAGAAAACATCGGATATAAACACAATAAATATGGAGCCTATGGACGGGGTGCTAAACACGAGAGGCCCCCGATGCACACACAGTGTGCAACATGATGGAGGCCGGCTCCATTTTCTCCAGTACAGTGGTACCTCAGGTTACATACGCTTCAGGTTACATATGCTTCAGGTTACAGACTCCACTAACCCAGAAATATTGCTTCAGGTTAAGAACTTTGCTTCAGGATGAGAACAGAAATCGTGCTCTGGTGGCGCGGCGGCAGCAGGAGGCCCCATTAGCTAAAGTGGTGCTTCAGGTTAAGAACAGTTTCAGGTTAAGTACGGACCTCCGGAACGAATTAAGTACTTAACCCAAGGTACCACTGTATCTAAGAAGCCTCTGCATGAACATTGAAGAGAATGAGGCCTTCAAGGAGGGTCAAGCCTCCGAGGGAGGAAGTTGCCTCAGGCAGCTGACTGAGGCTGTCACAAAAGGGAAGGAAATAGTTATTCAATTTGTTGCTGATGGTGGGTTGTTTGTTTGTTTGTTTTACCAGGGATAGGGGCTTGGTGTATTTTTCTGCCTCAGTTGACAAAATACCTTGACTGACTTAGGGGCTATATACCCCTTGGTTTGGGGCAGGGAACACCATTGGCTGCTCACCTCAGGCAGCAAAATAACCTGAGGCCTGGCTTCCCAAGCCAGGGGGCAAACTCCTAAGGTTGTGCAGCCTTAACATTTCAAACGCGATATGTTTTAAAACAGGGGTGCAGTCCCTCTTCCTTCCCCTTTATTTCTTCTCCTCACTTTCCAGAAATCCTAGTCGTATGAAAACAGAACCACACAATGTTGCATTTAATGCTCTCTCTTTCACACACAGAGTCACAGAAACACATTTGACATAGGTCAGGGACTGTACACTAGGGAAGCCTTGAGAACGATGCTATTGACAAGTGAGTATATTGACCAGAGGTTCCTTTTGATGTGGTTGTTGTTTAAGCGGCTGACACGCTTAAAAACGACATCCTCTTCATTATCTTAGAAAAGTGGCTTTGAGTCTGAGGAGGGGACCTGAGGAGTCTAGAAAGGTCTGCTAACCTCCCAGGGGGGGACTATATTAGACCTCTGAGTCACAGAGGTTTTGCATAGCCGGTGTTTGGTTACAAGCCTTTTATGGGCTCCCTCATCAGGGATATCAGTATCCGCATTATAACTCCTATCTATTCTTAGGTGACACTTCGGCAGGACTGACCAGGCAAGAGACAAAAAAGATCTTTATTTTTCTGCTTTAAATTGAAAGAGAGCGAGCGAGAGAAAAGACTATCTCCTTTTTTAAAAACCAAAATACCCACCTGTGTCCCCCCCCTCCCTCTGTTTCACAGAGCTTCTGGGGTTCCTGGCGTAAAAGAGAGATAATATGTCTTACAGCGTGACTCTCAACGGACCCGGACCATGGGGGTTCCGACTGCAAGGGGGCAAGGACTTCAATATGCCTCTGACCATCTCCAGAGTAAGTGCTAACAACTCAAAATACCTCTCGAGATTTGCTTGGATAAGGAAGCAAACCTGCTTGTAATGGTGTGATCTGACCTGGGCAGATATGAGAGAGAGGGAGATTGTATTTGGTTTAAAATGGGAGGGGGTGTCTATGAAGATAGCATTAATACAGTGCTACCCCTCCCCCCAAAAAAATTGTGTGCTGCATTTGCGCCTTCTCTGATTCAGAGAAAATATGAACAAGCATATTTTAGCAGCGGATCTTCTCTCTTCCTCTCCCCACAAATGTTTCTGTCTGCAAAAGTGTTTCTGAACTGGCGATAATGAGACTCTGTTTTGCATAACGTTGCCCATACTCTGCAAACTAAAAGTCCACATCGGCAAGGGTGTGGGTGGAGCTGAGTGTTAGCAAACCGGATGACTTACCCAGAAAATATAATAACAATCACACCAAGCTCTTATTTCTGTTCCCCTTGTATCTCATCCTGGTAAGGCTTATCTCCTCCTTTCCTGCGTTCAGATAAAATAGTTAAGCTACCAGAATGGTTTGCAATTGTCAGTGCCAGAGAGAGAGCTGAAACGTTTTCAGCATCTGAAAAAGACACTGGTGTGCTTTTCCAGCAAAGTTTTTCAAATTAATAGGATAAGCTTAAATCCAGTAGTGTAGGCCTCTGGGGTGTGAAAAACAATGCCTTGCATTAAAAAGGTACCTGCTATTTTCTGCTTCAAGTAATGCATTCCTTAATTGGTGCAATTAGCCTTGACTATTCTATTTATTGCAATTCCAGTCTTCCACTTTCCTTAAGAACTATTGGCGACCTAACCAGAGGAAGGCCTGCTGGTGGGGAGCCATCTATTTCAGGGACTTCCTAAAAGGATCAAGATAATTGGGGGACGGGGGACGTCTCTGACTCCCTAATGGTGCTTGCAGTCAATTTTCCTTTTACCTATATAATTAGACACAAAGAATGTACACTTTGGAGTTAAGTACTTGGGTTTATTTATGACTGCTGCCTGAAATGTACCTTCCAATTATTTAGAAGCATACAGAACAAAAAAATAATAATATTTGCAATGTATTTGAATAGTCTAAAATCAGAACATGAGAATTTCTCCTAAATTTCAGAAATTTTGGTGGCCAGTTGCAATCCTTTACACACCAACTTGATAGTAGGCTCCATTGAACACAATAGGACTTACTTTGAGTTGACATGTATAGAATTGCATTGTAGGTTCCGACCCAAACATCCTGTCTCTATGGAAGAGGCTACAGTTCTGTACCTAGTCTCGTAGGCCACCCATCCCTCTCACTTGCTGTGGGGCACCATGAGAGTAGTGTTCCTTGCTGCAGAGGGTTTCTTGGATGAGTGGGTCAGCTGCAGGATCAAGGGGAAAGTGGGTTGGGAAAGGCCACAGATCAACTTCTCACCTGTAGCCACAGGGCTGTTAAAGAGATGAACCACTTCTCTTGAGACCGGGCCACAGAAATCCTGCTGAAGACTATGGGGCTTGTTTAGCTGTTACTTGCCTACCTCAACTATCAGGAGTGGGCTTCAGGTCTGAACACTTCTCCTCTCCTCCTCTCAGAAGTGAACCTCAAACCATGAGAGCCTTCATTTATCTGGAGGCAAGAGTAACTGTACCTTGGACTCTGAAATTTCTTTCTACTACAGGTTCAATATCCACAATAAAGCATAATTTCCACCTTTGGGGAGCAGGGCGGAAGCGTGTGAGATAAAAGCCCACTCGCAATTTTACCATGCATAGAAGTGAGCTGGGTAGGCCCAAGAGAAAATGAATTATCAATATGCTTGTTCTAAATGCTTTGGATGTAGCAGCAAGATAGATAACTGGAAATAAAAGAGATATCCAGACAAGTGTGGCTGCATGGATGTTTAAATTTCCTTCCCTATACTATGTGGTCCTCAACCATTTGTGAAATCTAGCAGTGTCTGCTCTCCAGCAGAATGGAGTCTCTATCCTTTACTTCTCTCATGCAGCCCCCATAAATTATTCTGGATAGTTTGGGGACCCTCTGGAGCATATTTGAGGGAGGGGGCACTGTGGCAGCAGGGGGAAGGGAAGGGGGGAAGCCCCCTTGTGCAAACTTGGGTTCCACCCAATGTTTCTTTGGGAAATATGAAGAATGATTTGTAGTTGTTTGGAGTGTAGGAGACCACTAAAATGAACTAAAGTAGTCTAAGCAATGAACCTATAAAAGCTCTTAATTACGGTACTATGTCTTCTCCACTGTGCTTGGCACCTCTCCTGTTTTCCAAGCTTCCTCCCATCCCAGTCTTCTCATGTTTAATTCTGAATGATCCAGGTGCATATACTGTTCCTGTGGCATTTTAGCTCTGTTGAAGAGCACCTATGGAGGAATGTGCATGAAAAACTTCATGGTAGGATTTAAAACCCGTGAGGCTTTCTGCCGGGAGGAGGCTAGATTCCAGACTGTGCTTATGATTCTCTGTTTTGCAGTGGTCAGAAAGGTTTTTCACTCCAAAGTAAGATGATCCCCCCCCTTCTCTATTCTACCTGGCTTTTCTTCCTCAGAGAGAAAAGTACTATGTAAGAATCTTCTAAGGGAAAAGAAGTATTAACAGGATTAGGCTGTGGTTGTGACATCCATACCCAAATCCAGAGCTGCAGTGTAGATCAGGGGTTGTCAACCTGGTCCCTACTGCCCACTAGTGGGCGTTTCAGGATTCTTGGTGGGCGGTACGGGGTTCTACGGCACAAGCGGAATCCTTCCATTGAGCACTGGTGGGCAGTAAGGAAATTAGTGGGCGGCATTAGTGGGTGGCAGGTATAAAAAGGTTGACTACCCCTGGTGTAGATCTTCCAGGTTTGGGGCCCTGGTGATAGTTACTGAAGCTGGAAATGCCCCATAGAAGTTTATTGCATTGGGCAGGCAAAGGTGGAAGGTGATTTATGGGATTGCAGATTAGAAAGCTTCTATATATTGCAAAAAAAGAAGTATCATTGCACATACAAAGCTAGCATATCAGGGAAGCAGCTAGAACGTTTCTCCTGACATGCTAGTTTTCTAGCTACAGGATATTTTGGGGTTTTGTTTTTTTAAGGAGAGCATTAAAACGTATTATGCCCCCATCTGTTATTTGAAGTGGTAAAGTCCAGTAATAGTTGTATTGCACATAGACACCCATGAGTCACTCCTTGTCTTCCATGCATGTATAATTTTGTGTATGTATAAATAATACAAATGCCTTGTTCCCCCAAAATCTGTGAAGAGCCTATTGGAGCTTTACAGTTCATGGGTACCTTAGGGATCCAGTCTTGAGTATTCATTAACTACGTGTATACAGACAAGAACACCGTAGTCATTTCATGTTGGCAAAAAATTAACATAGTAAGTGGTTTTCAGATACCAGTTGGTGCCAGACTTCTTATGGCTGTGTGTATTAATATCTGCAAGATAGAGGGTATGATCAGCCCTAGCATTTGCCATGGAAAGTTTTGGGATTAGTATTTTTCAAAATTTGAGCACTAAATTGCTGTGCTAATGTCAGGAAAAATTAAACTTGGCTTTAGTATTCATGTTAGGATAAGGCAGATCCAGAAATAGATGCTAGGCCAGCATCTGAGCAACAGAGCAAGAGCTGGATTTGTTATTCATGACACACAGTGATTCCATTCTTGAGACTGATTTGCAAACATGAATATACAAAATAAAAAATATACAAAAATATTTTTGTAGATACATGTTTTAACACTTTTATTAGGAAATTGCATATCAACCTTTCACGTTTGTTCCTATTTCTTATATGCATTTATTCATCTTTTTATGAGTATTTTCGGGAGTCTCTCAACTTTCCTGTAGCTTTTCTCTTGCCATGATAATTGACTGTTTGCTCATGGGGAATAAGGAAATAAGAGATACCTAGAAGCTGCTCTCAGAACATTCAACCAGCTATCCATTTGAGTGATGATATCACACAAAGCTGTAATTTTCAATACTGTCCTATCTCACTTTTATACTGTCCTCTCTATAAAAGCGTCATAAACCAGACAAGAAGCTCCTTTTTGTCAGGAATAAAGTTTTATGGGCTGTTTGTTATATTACCCTTATTACAAATAAAAGTGGCACCTAGGCTCTGTATCAGGAATAGTTCTTACAATTTACCGGTAAGTTGTGTGGGACTTTTACCACCAGGTACATGTAGCCTCTGGTGTAAGCATCTTTATAGATATATATAAAATCACCATCAGGGCAGAGCATTTCATCTTTAGAAAAGAGGTCCAGGTATGAATACTGCTTCTGCAATGGTCTCATTTACCTTATTCAAATGTTGTGCTAAACCAAAGGGTAGCTAACGTAGCATCCTGTAGATCAGTATTTCCCAAACTTGGGTCTCCAGCTGTTTTTTAACTACAATTCCCATCATTCCTGACTACTGGTCCTGTTAGCTAGGGATGATGGGAGTTGTAGTCTCAAAACAGCTGGAGGGCCAAGTTTGGCCATGCCTGGTTTAGCATTACAGTATATGAACGAGACTTGGGATTGTGAACTTCCTCCCTCCTTTCTTTTTCTGACATGGCTGAGTTGGAGAACAGAAGTTTTCACTTCCGTTTTAATTCATACCAGTTAATTGAGGTTAATATTAAGCATTGTTTATTGAAACAAGCCACCTTCATGAATTGCATTTTGAATCGGCTCTTTTCAATAAATTGTAATTAACGCTAGCCACACTTTGTCTAGATTAGGACATGGTGCTAAAAGGTAGCTAGTTAAAAACAAGCAAAAGCTCCCAATCTCCTCCTCGCAGCTATAGCCAGAGGATAAAAGAGAATGGAAAGTGTAAAAACCTAGGACTCCTTAGCACAACTCTAAATCATACTTTTTAGTGTTGTGTCCAAACCCGGCCACTTTGGATAAGTCACTTGCAGCCTGATTT